CCTCCAGGGCCGGGCGCGGTGGCTCACGCCTGTAATCCTAGCTCTCTGGGAGGCTGAGGCGGATGGATCGTTTGAGCTCAGGAGTTCGAAACCAGCCTGAGCAAGAGCGAGACCCCGTCTCTACTAAAATTAGAAAGAAATTAATTGGACAACTAAAAATATATAGAAAAAATTAGCCAGGCATGGTGGCTCATGCCTGTAGTCCCAGCTACCGGGAGGCTGAGGCAGGAGGATCGCTTGAGCCCAGGAGTTTGAGGTTGCTGTGAGCTAGGATGACACCATGGCACTCTAGCCCAGGCAACACAGTGAGACTCTGTCTCAAAAAAAGAACTGAACGTAAAGCTAAACAACAAAACTCACCTAAAGGGAGGGGATGGGAAGAAGAGATGATTGTCCTAGAAGCCAAGGTTGCTGGCGGTTGTGATTAAATTGCACAGTAAATTTAATGCTGGGTTTCCAGCAGCCAAAGATGTGCATATGGTTACTTATTCCACTTGAGTGATCACTAGACAAGCTTCTCGAAGGCACTCTTACTTGATCCTGAGATTATAATAATATTTTTCAGTGCATAGAATCTACCAGGCACTTGCTAACTAACTCTATGCATGCATTTATCTTCTCTAATCCTCATGCCAACAAGAAGAAATAGGCTAGAGTCGCAGGTGCAAACTCCAGAGCCAGAGAGCCCAGATTTGGTGGATCTCAGCTCTGCCACTCACGAGCTGTGTGACCTTGGGCCGGTCCCTTACCCTCTCTCACCCATAAAACTGAAATATCAGTCATTCCTTATAATGGCTGGGAGCATTAAGTGATTTAATATACACAAAGCACTCAGTGTCTGGCATTGGTAAGCGCTTACTTGCCATTATTATCATTATTTCTGACAGATAAGGAAATTGGGTCTTAGAGAGGTTAAGTGGCTGGCCCAAGGTCCCATGGCTAGATCAAATTGGCACCAGCTCCAGTTTGACCCCTCTTAACCACTTCACATGCTGACTCGGAAACTTCAGGTTGCTGCTGGCAACCTGCTGGGCACAAACAAGGACCTCCTCAGTATTCCCCTTGAGCAGACAATGTTTGATTACCTTTGGTGAGGGTTTCTCAGCTGTGGATTATCTTTGGGGAACTTCTCCCAGCTGTTTGGTGTGGTGAGTCCACTGGGACGGTATCTAATTTCAATATGACTTTAAGTAAAGTTTAAATAATGAGGGAGCTGTATTGAAAATCATAGCGTATATTTGTTTATCTATGGATTCTATTTATCTATGTTTATTCTTAGCCACCAACCTCTTGCCAAATACAGTTGAACATAGCAGAAATTTTGAGGTCAGCATTTACCCAATTGCTACTATATTTAAAGTCCACTTCGACATCACATCCCTTGGGGAGATGCTTGCCTTGTTACTTCCCACCATCTCAGCACACACAGGTGTCCTCCGACCTGGGCAGTGATGTCGAGGCCGCATGTGGGTGTGATTCCCTTTCTCCCCACCAGGTGTCCCGCTATCCCTGCTATCTGACTGACGGCAGGCTGGCAGTCTTCTTCACCCCTCCGCAGGGGAAAGAGGATTTGAAGCCGGTGGTGGAGGGATTGTGGGGGGAGGGAGGGTGGGAGGCTATGACAAGACGCTCAGATGTTGCTTTTTGTCTCCAGACAAAGGGAATTTCTCACATTGCTTTTCTTCGATGCATAGGTGTCTCTCTCCAGAAAGCCTGGTCCGTTCTCTGCAATTTAGGAAGCTTTTATTTTCACTGGTGTTTGACTGGGGCTTTGCATCTCTGAGCTTGAGACTGGGGCTGCCATCTGCATGCCCTCCTTTTGCCTTAGAGCGTTCCTGACGGCCTCCCTTCCCTCCCTGGCCTCTCCTTTTTCTTCTAGGGTCTGACAGGAAAAGAGGCAAGGAAGGGACTGTTCCTTCTGCCCTGTGGGTTTCCTCAATATTCCCTGAAGCAGGGGTGGTCACAGCAGGCAGCCGTGGTGGCCGTGACACTAGCTAATCCTCACACCAACATGAACCTACTTCATCCGTGTTATTAACATGACGGTGGCAGAAATACTTGCTCCCCCTTCTCAGATAAGATTATCATTTGCTTCTCCTGCGAGGAAGAGGACAAGGGGATTGGATCCACTGACAAAATTTTAGTAACTGGAGCATTTAAATTCCAAAATCAATCTCTCATCCTTTGCTGGTGGTTGGTTCCTTGCCTGTCATCAGTCCTGTTTTCCTCCCTCCCTCCCTTCTCCCTTTCTTTTTGAGGATCACACACAGGTTGGGGAGGCTGCTCTGAAGCCGCATGATTCTCTCAGAAGTTGGCAGCTGCACTGGGGCTCTCTGTCCCTCATCATAGGTCACCCCAGCAGACCGTGGGCACTTACCCCAGATCTAAGGTGTCTAAATAGATGTAGTGCTCTAAGTTGTCTGCAAAACGGTGCCCTGATTGTGGGTTATTCTGTGATTGAAGCTTCACCCAGAGATCTGCTGAGAATGCCAATGGGACATTTTCATTTAGCATCAGCTTTAGAAGCTTCAGTGTGGGCTATTTCCCCCATAAAGGACCTCGATAACAAAGACCAGAACACAGTCTTGTGGGAGTTGGTAGCTTCTGTGCCCACTGCCTCATTATATGCGTGGCTTTTAATATTCCGAGAGCCATTGCCAATACGCATTTCCTTGTGTACTGGGAAACCGGAGCCCGGATGCGATGCATTATTGATAGGATTGTAATTTACTCCTCTTGGGTTGTATCTATAGTGTATACCATTAGCACAAAATATTAAATTACCAGTGGTGGTATGTATTTGTCTATTCAGGTTTGGCTCGATGATATTTGCCTTTCGCCTCAATAAAAGATCATGAATTAGGAAAGCAGGGTAATATTATTTTTTTGTTGCTGTTGCAAGGGAATTTTGATGAAACCATTTTCTCTGTGTTGTGTTTTTGGCGAGCCACGCTTTGCAATGAAGACACGAGACACAAAAGAGTCGGGGTTGGACGGGGAAGATGGATGGGCAGCTCGCTCCAGCTCTCGGCACACATTGGCTTCCCTGGCAAGCTGCTCTGGGCCAGGCTCGGGGTTTCCTTTTTCTGCAAGGGGGAATAAACAACCTGTGCTGCATGGGTGGGAGGACGTGGGCAGCTCAGACCTGGGTGCAGAAACACAGAGCCCCGCGTCTCTGCTGTGAAGACAGCGTTTGCGTGGGATTTAAGCAGTGGGGGCACCCAACAGCGTGTAGGGTACAACCTTTTGTCCTCACGGCATTGTGCCCTGGGTGGTGTTTCGAAGTCCACCCTCTGGTCACCACTGTGGGCCATTTGGGCTCCTGCCCCTACCTGAGGCAAGTGCCACACAACTACACATGCACTTATTTCTTTTAAAAGATCCGGGGTCCCAGGGCCCCAGCCAAGCTGAAAATGGCAATGCCACATCAGGTCTGTTTTGTGCTCTGTTTGTTCTGAACTTGGGGCTTCTTTTAGAACCTCAAATAGGAGGTGTTTGCTGGCTAATTAGCTTGATGTTCTGACTGCCACCAACCCCTAGTCAGATTAGCTGTATAATTTTTTAGGAGTAATCATGTTTTTAAAATGCCTATGGCTTGACCTCCTCACAATGAAGGGATGGGGGTGAGAGGGACTAGGTTTTAAATTCCTATTAACTTGTGCAGAAAGAGACTTTGGAGGAATGCTTTCTCCTCTTAGTTCCTGCTGTCCCTCTGGGGCCCTTTATTCCTCAGGGCCAATCCCAGGGAGGGGCTGGGGGCAGGGGAGGAGGCCCCCATCCCACCCTCCCATGTCTCAAAGGTCACTGGCTAGGGCACAGGGCTTGGCTACTCAAGTGACAGGTATCCATCTACAAAGCTGGAATCTCCTTATAGTGGGCCCCTAAGAAAACACCACTCAGTAGAGGGGAGCTGTTGAGTTTTGCTGCCTGGGGCACATTCTGGAGGTGAAAACCGGTTTTTCTGAAGACATGTCAGAGCCAGGCTTTGTTCAGAGTTTGCCTCTTTAAGCCAGACTGGCTCCTTAAAGGAGACCCCTTTATCTGAGGAAAGGGGAAATTCAAAAAAAAGGCTTGGGCTTGGCATCTCCTTCATAACCAGGTTGGACTTCCTTTGGACTCACGGGCTATTTTTGTTCCACACCTTCTCCTTCTCTAAAGGAGAGACCTGGAATAAAAAAACAAAAAAGCAAAACAACACACACACACACACACAGAATTGTAAAGCCAATGAAATCAGTGCTAAATCTATCAAAGCAAATCATAGACCCTGACGGCTGAGAAGTATTATTTGTGTTTTTCCTCCCAGATTTCTGAGCCTGGTGTTTTTAAGCATGTGTCTTAGGGGAGAAGAGACCCGTATAAAGGCAATTATAATTGGTGAATGATTAATGTTGGATCTGACATTTTTATGTGTCAAATATGTTTAACTGCATTAACCTTTGCAGAATTTATACCCATAGTATGAGCTATATCTTGTATAGCATGTGAAATATCTGCAATCTGCCTGCACTTAAATCTTATTTACATTTATTTTATTACAATATAAAAAATCTTAATAGAGTTTTTTACCCCATTCTGCAGGTCCTGCTTGCTCTGTGGGGAGTCTGAGGGCAACAGGGTTCCTTGCAGATTGCAGATAGAGTCCCAGCCACCTGCCCAGGGACCCCAAGGAAGGAGGAAGCCAGTGCTGGATTCTTCTAGTTCATGTCTCAGTTTTAGCCCAAAGGGGAGGCGGCTCAGAAGGCCGAGAGTTGGTATCCAACAGCATGAATCACAGAGGCAGAGAGGCTTTTCAGTAGACAGGCAAATTTTAATTTTTTAATTTTTACAAGTTACACAAAATGCACATTTGCATAGCATTGATTTTAGAAAAGAGAGACGGAGTGGTTCCCATCTGTGATGCTTTTTCCAATCTGCCCATCGCCCGTCCCCTCTGCGGAAGGAGGTGCACTCCAGGTGTCTCCTTCACCGACCACATTTCTCCCTGGGTGTTTCTGTTTCTAGGTCAGAATCACTCTTGCTGCTGCTGCTGCTGCAGTAGCACCGTCGTTGTCAGCTCCATGCCTCCTGAACTTCACTCCACTGAAATCTGGTTGGGTATGAGACAGACTCCGGTGGAATGAAGGACAAGAGAAGCCCATGGATTATCTGGGGATCTTTTGCTCAGAGGGTAGGGACGCATGCCAACCCCGGCTTCTGCACACTGGGTTATTGCCCGGCCAAAGGCCTTCAGCATCCTTGAATCACAGACTTGGGAGATGTCAAGGACCTGGGTACTCAGACCCCTCCCCAAGGACCACATCATCCAGAGAGGCCGTGGAGAGCCAGCGCATCCAGACATCCTTGCCGTGTCAACTGCACAGACAGACAGCGCTGAGTGGTGGAGACGGGTCTGCAGGGCTGGGGTCGCTTGGCTGTTTCTCACCCTCAAGTCAGCCATCACGGACAAGTCCCTGGGGACCCTCCTCTGTGATTACCTAGTTGGGATGCTGGTCATCCTCTCCCTTCGCCTGTGTCCCACTGTATGTGCCATAACTGCGTTCGGTGTGGTTGCTCCTGTCCAGAGAAGGTAGGGGAAGGCAGGTTTCTGCAATTGCTCTGAAAAATTCAGCTACTCTGAGCTTGCTTGCCAACGTGGCAGAATGCAGCCGTACAGGCGTTTCTCTCCAAAAGGCACTGTCCAAGGAGCAGGAACGGCACTTTGCAGGCCTGTTCGCAAGTGCGAAATGAGGAAAAGGTGGGTGAGGAGCTCAGGAAGGACCAGAGATCCCGGCTGGAGCCAGGCCCATTCATGGGGGCAAGTGGACAGAGGAGACTGAGACTTCTTGGCCTCGCTCTTGTAGACTTATCTAGGAAGGCCAGTCTCCGAAGGCCCCACATCCCTCCCCAGATCTGCTTGTAAATGCCGCAACTTCTCTGTTGGGCATGGGGCTGGGGGACGTGGGGAGGAAGAAGGAGAGATAACAAGGCTTTCAGAGACTGAGCTAAACAGGGAGGATGCAAACTGCCTGAGAGCTTTCTGCTCTCTCTTCAAAGAAATGCCCATCAGCATAGTTGCTGCTCTGGCCTCTTCCTTGTTGTGTTCAGACATGTCTGTGGCTCAGTGTAAGCCCCATAAAAGGCTGTTCTCAGCACCAACATGCAGACTGGGTGGGTTAGGGCAGATCCACCTTGTTGTTTGGAACACTTTCTTCCTGGGGCTTGTTCTGACCCGATGCAGGGAGGCAGTGTCTCACAGTGTGACTCCTCCTCCTGCATCCGGCCTCCTGGGCACTGGGCCTCACTGTAAAAGCCCTTAAACATGGGTTTAGGGGTTTCTAGCTAGTGCCGAGGAAGACTCCCACCTTTCTTTGTCTGGGATCTTTGTCAGGGGGAGCACAGGGCATGTTGGGAGGCAAGGATCTGGGTAATGGGAGGAAGACTGGTCCATGCTCTCCTGTTCAGTCTGCTTTATAAATACAATTCTCAATACTGAGAGAGAAATGCGCCCTGTTTGTGAGTCATCTAGACTAGATAATTCTCCTGCGCTGCCTTTGACCCATTTCTCAGTCAAAGGGAGGAAAGAGGCCAGTCTGTTGACTCTGATAAATAAATGATGGCAGGAGACGGTGGGAGGAAACCGTGCTGAGATGGCAGGATTCTTTGCCTCCTCATTAGATTGCAGCTCAACTTGGACACCAAATGGGTCAAGTCTTCTCCCTCCAGACCCTCTTTCCCCGACTCTTACCCTCCCAACGTGTCTGCTCCACCAGATCCTTCATTCAATTCCTCACTCTGGAGTGTGCAGAGAGCCTCACTCCCATATAGGGTCCTTACCCTCCAGGGTGGACACTTGAGAGATGACAATGTCTGTTGAAGACTCGCAAATGGGAAGTAGCATTGATGTCAGAGAGCCCAGAAAAGGCAGGCCCTTCCTGTCCCACTCTCCCCTTGCCCTGCAGAAAGCAGCTACTATAAGGCAGAGACAAAAAAAGCACGAGCCAGAACCAGTCTCAGGAGACTTGACTCACTCTAGACCCAGAGTTCAAGATTCTTCTGCCCACCAGGCCTTTGCCAGCTTAATCCCCCAATGGCCTTCACCTTGGCTGCTGCAGTGTCGGAGTTGGTCAGAGAACAAGCCATGCCTGCACTTGGCTGTAGAGTGGGTTCATCCAGTGGCTGTTCTCCTGCCCCAACTGCCCTCAGGACTATGCCCCCAACGTCTTTCTAATAAAACCAACTTGAACATGAGAACCAAAGAATGGAACCAGGACCTGGATTTCCCAATATAGCTGCACCCTGCACCCCAAGACTGAGAAACCATCACCCCCCTGTTCCTCTAGTTGAGTAAGTCTCCATGAAACTAGACAGAGCTGCAATCTTGGTACTTAACTGCTCGGTACTCTCCTTACCACCCCAGTGCCCATTATCAGCGAGATTTACTGCCTGGGGTCACTGGAAATGCTCAAGAAAACACAAAAGTGGCTGAGGATTGGGTGAAAACCAGCAGGTTGAGCTATTTAACCTAGGAGGAAGTTGATGATTGACTTCCAGTGAATGTGGCTCTTCCCACTCTTCTCTCCCTGCCCAATGAGACCCCTGATCTAGCCACTCGGCTTTGATTTTCCAAAGCCCCCCCAAATCCAGAGATTTCAGACTCACCTGTAAATATGAGTGTCTGTGCCTTCAGAGAGCAGAGCTCAGCTTTGAGTTTGATTCAAAATAATAAACTGGGTTTTGTCATAAGATAATGCAGAACAAAGAGATGGTTAGAGAGTGAAGCGCATGAGAGCAAGGAAGGACATTTCAAGTCTTGGGAGGTTCTTTTGTCCCCACAGCTTGACGATAGAGAACAAGAGACGAGAAACACTGTGCACAGCAGAGCAGACCTGTGCAGGACAGAAGTGGCTCCTGCGGAAAGGTGGGGGCAGGTTCTGAATCATCCATTTCTCTCTTTCATAAAAAAGAATATGAAAGCAGAGGACAGTGGGATTGAAGGAGAGGTACATGAAGGTGGCTGGAAAGGAAAGAGTTTACAGAGTGCAGTTGAGGATTCAGCTGGATTTTCAGAATAGAGGTTGGTAACAGACAATAAAAGAGAGAGAAACTGGTTTTTCCAAGGCACGGGTGACGGAAGGAAGAGGGACTCAGCGCATTTCAAGGAGGTGGTACTAGTTTAGCTCTTTATTTATGCACCTCTCAGCAAAGCTTCAGGTTACCTGCTGAGCCCAACCAATGGAGAGAGGGCCTGGCTGCTGGCCCCACCTTGCAGAACCCACACCCCTGGGCCATCAGTGGAGAGGGCTTTCTGCACAGCTACCTTTACTTTCTTCTTGTTCTGTAAACACTAGGCCAGGCAGGGGAGGTCTCTGTCATCCTAGAGATGGAGAGACACTGCAGGTCATCTGAGCCTTGCACCCAAAGGCTCTGGCCTCCCACAGACCTAGGGAAGGGGGAGAGGGGAATGCTCAGATTTTATCTTGGCCCAAGGAGGCTGTGCAGGTGTGTGCATGTGTGCACGTGTGTGCATGCATGCATGTCCTTTTGAGCTTTTAGCCGTGACCTGGGTTCCTATCTCTACACAATGCACTTCAGGAATCCAGCAGGGATCGGCCAGCCTATCCTGGCAGAGCTGAGAAAGAGGCCTGAGGGTCAGAGCAGAGGCCCAGCCAGTGGCTTATCCTGGCATTTAGTACAAAGGAGTTTGCTGCAATGCTGTGAGAAGCCAGTGGTTTTTATAATCCAAAAGGTTTAGCAACCTGCTTCCCTTTCATTTATTTCTAGGGTGGGGAAAAGACCACATTGTATGAGGGGGAAGTTGGGAAGAAACAAAAGGAAATTGCGGAAGGAAGGGGCGAGCTCCTTAGAAACTTAGGAATGTTAAAGAGGTTGGTCCCCACACTTGGTTATTCTACCCCACCCCTTCACACCTGCTCAACCCAGACTCCTGCCTGCCCCCTCCCTGCCCGCTGCCCTCCCCCTTTCTGCTTCTCTCTCCTCACTTCTCCCTCCCAAGCACACATCTGGAGGGCAAGGGAAGTTGAAGTCTCCCCAAATGTGGCACATTCTGCCTGGGATCTTGGCCTGACTTCCCTTCGTTCCCAAGGTAAATCCCCAGGTGTGCGGCAAAAGTAGATTCCGCCCTTCCCCAGGGGTACTAAGAATCCAGTCTGTAGGACACCTTGGTGCGGTCCTGTCCTGCGGCCCTTCCTAGAACTGAACGCTGCCTGCTCAAAATCTCTTTAGAAATCGGCCAATCGGAACTTCTTACCAAATAGACTGGGGAACAGAGGTTTCCAAAGGTGAATTCTGTCTCGAGTTCACACAGCCAGCATAGGCTTGAGAGTCTACTTGACCTTGGTCTACGGACCACCGGTTGAGAGCTCTGTATGACAAACACTCCACCTGCCTCGCCCGGGTCTGGCAGGCCTGGCACCTGTCTGCACTGTGCTGCGCTCTCCCTGGAAGAAAAGGCTCCGTTGCAGAAGGGGAAAGACCAACAAAATACATTCCCTCGGACGAGGGGAGGGAGATACTCCATGCGATCAGTTTCTTGGGCCCAGGGGCTCCTCCCCCCGATTGCGGAGCACAGGGCTTCCCGCCAGCTGCACCAGGTGTGGCGCGGGCTCAGCGCTTCCCTTTCCCAGTGAGCGATGCCGAGAGGGAAGCAAAGTCCCCGGCCAAGAGGAGACACCCACTCTCGTGCGCTAGACTCTGGGGCCCTTTTCCCTCCTCCTCCCTCTCTCCCTTCCTTCCTGTGTTTCATTCATTCACGCATTCATTCACTCGCTGACTCCCTCACTCCATGAGCGTCCACCCTGCAGCAGGCGAGGACAGGGCGGTCGCCCTTCCGCGGCTCCCAGCCCAGGTGACATCGCGTGACTAGAAATGGAAACAGGCCGGGGAGGGAGACATGACGGATGCCGCCAAGGGAACTGTGAGATTGGGGCGGGTTCCGCAGAGGGTGGCATTTGAGCTGCATCTGAAAAGAGGACCGGGAGTGAATGAAGCCTTGAGCAAGGAGCTGTCCCAGGGCTCGGAGGGGCGAGGGCAGGGGTGCCGGGGAGACCGACGCTGGAGACGCGGAAGGGCGCCGCCCGGCGGCTTTGGCGACGGCGCAGGCTCCAGAAGTCCGAAGCGGGCGTGAGTGCAGCAGAACTGTGTTCCAGAAGCCAGGGGAGGGCTGGAGGCAGAGTGACTGACTGCCGAGGAATGGGACTGCCCCCAGGACGGGGGTGCAGGGGAGGAGGGATGAGGAGTAGCTAGGGCGGGAAATAAGCGTCAAGTCCTGCCGGTCACACTCTGTCCCTTCCAGGGCTCCTCTTTGACCTCGAAATTTGTTCAGAAAAATGGAATCACTCTATATCCAGCCGACACAGCAAAGGAAGACTGCCTGCCCTAAATTATTATTATTATTATTATTTTTCTTCCCTTCACTTTCACTCTCCACAGACCGGGAGGACGCTCTGTGGAATGGCGGGACACACGGGCTTGCGTGGAGGGTCTAGAGGGTGGGCAGGTGCATCAGGGTGGCTCTGCTGGAAGCCCCCTGTCCCCCGCGCCCCCCTCTGCCTGGCTCTTTGTCCCACAGTTGTCCTGAGAGGCAAAAGCCCAGATGTTCTCCCTTCCCCTCCATTTCTAGTTCCAAGCCTCTGCAAGGCGTTCTCCAGGCTCTCACAGGATGGCGCTGTGCTTGCCTGAGTGTGTTTGGGGGCAGAGAGGGGAGTGGACGGCGTAGGGTGGTTGGGGATAGGGTGGTTGAGGGCGGGCACAGAGCTTCCCCCCATCTCCATGGAAGAGCAGCCACTGTAACCATGGTCCATTCAAAGGTCTACACCCAAGTCAATAAATCAAGCCCAGGCCCCTTCCTCCCACCCGGAATACACCTCCCCTCCCACTTTGTGGTTTCCAGTACTCACCTTTTCTAATCTTGGGCTTCACTTTTTGTTTTCAGGTATTGTATGCCCCTTGACCCTCATTTCTCCTCCTCTTCAACATACGCAAGCCAGGGCTTCCCTATTGTTAGAAATCTGTGGTGCTCGCATGCATCTCTGGGTCCTGGAAAGGCTCTGCTCTTCCCTCTGCTCGAATCTCCAGCCCCACGTCTCACTGTCACATCTCGGGCTGTTGAGAAAACAGGTCAGATAAAATATTCCAAACGCTCCAAAGTGTTATAACACTTGATAAGCATGAGAGTTAGGTATAAGTCTCTCTTGACTAAATTCTGGTTATAAATTCATTAGGTTATAAGTCGCAAAATTCAACTTTTCAACTTCCCCTCCATGTCTCTTCCAGGGACACTGAAAGAGAAGCTACCAAGGGTTCAGAGCCTCCACTGCACAGCACTGGGAGTGGGCTGGCCTCTTGGGGGTGGGACAGGAAGGACAGTTGTTGCAGGGAGGCAGTGCATCCCCAGAAAGCAGCTGAGGACATCGGGGCCCACCACCTGAAGGGGTGGGGTGCCCTTTATTTTTTTATTTTTTTGGAGACAGAGTCTGACCCGTTGCCCAGACTAGAGTGCAGTGGCATCATCATAGCTCAGTGCAACCTCAAACTCCTGGGCTCAAGCGATCCTTCTGCCTCAGCCTCCCAAGTAGCTGGCACTACAGGCATGCACCACCATGCCTGGCTAATTTTTCTATGTTTTGTGGAGATGGGGTCTTGCTATGTTGTTCAGGCTGGTCTCAAACTCTTGGCCTCAAGCGATCCTCCTGCCTCAGCCTCCAAAGTGCTAGTATTACAGGTGTGAGCCTCTGTGCCTGGCTGGGGGTTGCCTTTTAGGCTGCCTGCAGACTGGAGCTTCATCACCAGCTTTCTGCTGATCCCAAGTTTCCAGTTCTGCTGCATGTACTGAGGAGCTGAGAGGACCTCTCTTTGATATATTTTTTACTTAGGGCACAGAGTTGAGGGGTATGCACACGATTTCTTCTGCCATTGGCTAAGTTCTTCGTTTTGACTCAGAAAGGAACTGCGCAAATGTAGAGTAGGAAGGTGTGATTTAGGAACAAAATAAATAGAAAAAAACCCTGTTATGGTTTGAGCTTATAGTAAGCTTCATGGGACTCAGTGATGTGATATGGCTGTCTAAGGAGCAAATTCTCTCTTTGGTTGCATTATTTAGAAATAGGAGACAGAAAATAAGGGAGGTGATAGTCCTACTCTACCCTGTACTGATCAGACTATACCTGGTATTTACATTCAACTGTGGGCTTCACATTTTAGGAGGGGTCAATACAAATCTGAAATGAGAAAAAAGTGAGCAAGATGGTGCACGGGCTTGGAAATAGGTCACCTTGAGGAGGGGATTAGGAAACGGGGTGTTTAATCTAGAGAAGTGATGACTGGGGCATGTAGGAGGGTGGAAAATGACCGCTATTTTCAAGTACGCAAAGATAGGCCATGTAGAAGAGATTTGTGTTCATTCCTTGTGGTCCCAGAGGGTAGAACTAGGAATAATTTCCTTTTGTATCTCCAGTTCCCCACAGATGCACCTTTTTAGAAATGGGCCATGGAGGACATAGGCAGGCAACATAAACAAACCCTGGTGATGCTGGAGTTGATACAGCCTAAAAGAGAGGCGAAGTCTCTACCTAAGGAATAAGTACAAGGACCAGGAAGCAAGGTCAGCTCCTACCCCCAGACCGTGCATGCTCCCACCGGGTAGTGAAGAACACCTGTCTGAACAGGTGGGGCCAAAGACCTAAACCTAAGTCAAGAAATCAAGTCCAGGCCCCTTCCTCCCACCTTGAATACACCTCCCCTCCCACTTCATTGTATCTCTTTAGCTGACTTGCTCAGGTTAAGTGTTGTGCAGCCTGAAGTTAAGTTTTGGGTTGTTCTTCGATAGCCAGGCCTCTGTAAATGGACTGTTTCCTGAAGCCGCACCCCTACCCTGCACACAACCTCTGTGATCTGTGCATTTTGCTACAGCACATCCTCTTGCAGTTACTGAATTCTAGTCTTTCTCTTTTACTGGACTGTGAGCTTCTGAAAAGAGAAGAAGGCCCTGTAGTCCTA